TTCTCGGGAGGTTTGTGAGAGGCTGATAGGCTTCAGAGACGCTTTTGCGCGTCTTCCGAGAGGCTTCTGCGAGGAATGTGTAAGGCTTATGAGAGGCTCTTGCGATGCTTATTCGGGGCGTCTGATGGGCGTCCGATGGTCTTCTGAGGGGCTTCTGGCACATTGTCGAGAGGTTTCAGAGGTGCTTCTGAGAGGCTGCAGAGAAGCTTCTGAGAGGCTTCTTGGAGGCGCTTGAGGTGCGTATGAGGGGATTCTGAGAGACTCGTGCGAGGCTGCTGAGGTGCTTCAAAGAGGCTTCTCATAAGGAGCTCACGAGAGGTTTTATAAGAGGTTTATGTGAGGCTTGTAGCCTGATTGCGACCAGTACGACCACGACAGTATTACGACCTCAACAACTACCTGCTAGTAGCTAGTCAGCGACGTTCGTGACATCTCAGCCCCGACGAATTCATCGCCAGGGAAGCTTTTCCATTATATTTTGTTATACCATACCCAGTTATTTAACATGTCTGATGCACGCCAACATACGCTGCAGTTCCCTGTGATACTGTGCACTTTTATCTGCTCCTGCAGCTCTTTACACCCCGTGTTCCTCTCTCTTCTGCTCCACTTTACGGTTCCGTACTTCTGTTCAGTCTGTTGCACATAGTTCTGGTTTATTCTGCTAGATCCTGCTCTGCTCCTGTCTTTGTCCACTTCTACAAGCACTCGCTTCCCTGCCGGTGGCATATCTGTTTCTCATCGTTGTGATGTCCCGGCGCCCGCGCGCCCGACGCCGAGGGAGTCGCCGAGCGCCGCGATGTGCCCCGCCGGCAAGTCGCGCTCCAGCGCCGAGGGGGCCCGTGCACAGCCGGCGGCTGCAGCGGCACTCCGGGCCGCGCCGCCCGCCCCCCGTCCCCGCGCCGTCGCCGCGCCGCCACGCTGCCCGCCGCCCGCCCGCCCGCCCGTCGCCGCAGTTGGCATCGCTCAGACGTGTGTAGTCTTTCAGGAGGGGAAAAAAACACACAGACGCAATTCATCGTCGATTCCCAGGAAAATATAAAAAATATGGGAAGTGGGGGGGAAGACAAAAACCCAGAACATATGGGAAAATCTGGGGAATCTTGTTATTTGTGTTTATTTATTTGTGTGTCCCAGGGCCCCTTCATGGGGTTTTTTTTGGGCCCCTTCCGGGCCCCTTCATGGGAAAATATTGGGAATCTTTTTATTTGTGTGTATTTATTTGTGTGTCCTTGGGCCCCTTGACTCTTCTCGGCGAGGACCATCGAGGAGCATCCTGGATCGCCTGGCAGAACAAGCACGCACGAAGCCCACAGCTGCACGAGGCAGGGCCGTCCGAAAGCGCTGGGTAAGGCGCTGCGGCCTGTTCCACCGGGGGGACGCCGCCCGCCCGCCCCTCGGGGATTCGCGTCCCCGTACGTTTCCCTGCTTGGGCCGCCGTCGTCGTCCTCGCCCCCTCCAGGCTCCAGGGCCTGGCCCCGGTCTGGGGTAACGCCGGGCGGGTACTCCCTCCATCGCACGGTCCGCCCCCCGGGGAATCGCAGGCCGCCGTCGTGGCCCTTCCCCCCCCCAGGCTCCATGGCCCGGGGGCTCCGCCAGGCCGTCCTGGACAGAGCCTTGGGGCCCCCTCGCCCCAAGGCCCTTGCCTTAAGTCGGGCATGTCCCTCTACAGGAGGAGTAACCAAAAATCGTCAAAAATAGTATGTGGACGGTATTTGTAATATGTTTGATGATTTGTTTGAGTATGTTTCGACCCTTTTCATGTTGCCTCAAAAATCCGCCTGTAGGGTGACTTGCCCGACCTATCCCTTGCTATGATGGAGCCTCGGGTCCCTCCGCGGTCGGGTTCCGCCGAGCACGCGGCGCCAGCGAGCCAGAGCTCTGGCTCGACGGCGCGGCGTGCTTCCTGCCTGTGGCTCTCTGGCGCGGCGGGCAGCGTCCTGGGCGCGGGTTGCTTGGGCGTGCCGGCAGGGGAAGCTGGGGGAGAGGAGAGAGCTGGAGGCAACGTTAGGGGAGAGGGGGAATGGATAGGTTTTCCAAGGTTTTTACAAGGTTGCAGGTTCGCGCCGGTCCTCGGTCGTTGTCTAGCCTCGGGATACCCTCCAGCGGCTGCGCCTCGCCGAGGGCTTTCTGGGGGTGCCCGAATGACCCCGAGCGGTCGCCAGAGAGCCGAGCTATGATCCGAAAACCACGGGGCACCGTCAGGGGGGATAGTCTCGGGGGTGGACGCATCGCCCCCCAATCGCCCATTGATCGCCGAGGGGGGCCCGATAATTAGCCCACCCCGCCCTGGGACGTTCTGATTCGCGATCGGGGCCCTACTTATCGCCGATCCATCGGCGACGTGTCGCTGACTGCAGGTCGATCAGGTCGATGTTGCTCGCTCTGGGCCAGTCCCCGTCTTTCGTTCTCCCTCGGAGTTGCCCTTCGCAACCTCTGCAGTCTTGGCCCTAGGGCCAGAGTCCCGACGGTGGTTCTGACTGATGTTGTCCGTCCAGGCGTCTGTTCTCGGTTTCGGCCCGGAGGGGGCTTGTTTGGCCCCGGGGCCATCGAAAAACGGGTCGAGGGCTAAGTGCTGGCCTCGGAAAATGGGATGGGACCTTTGATCGGGCGTTGCGCAATGGGGGGGGGCGATACGTGGGGGGAGTTTCTCATTCCCCCTCCCCAGAAACCAACTTAAATAAACTTCCCAGCGACCTGCCCAGCATTCCCTGGTGCGGCCAACTGCGCACCCATCTACCCCGAGGACTTGTGATGAGGGACGCAACCGTCGGCGAGCCACGTCGCATTCTGTGGAATTCCATGGGCGACACCAAGTGTGTGTGTGTGTGTGTGTATGGTGTGTGTGTGTGTGTGTGGTGTGTGTGTGTGTGTGTGTGCACTGTGCAGGCGGGTTAACCGTCGAGCTCCACGCGGGTGACAGTCGACACTGCGAAGGCAGCGGGGCCCGTTCCCAAAAGAGAGGGAGTAGGAGAACAGGCCTCAACGACGCCTCCTCATCCTCCTCCTCCTCCTCCTCCTCCTCCTCCTCCTCCTCCCCCTCCTCCCCCTCCTCCTCTTCCTCCCCCTCCTCCTCCTCCTCCTCCTCCTCCTCCTCCTCCTGCTCCTGCTTGCACTACAATTAAGTCAGGAGTGGCGCAAGAGGGAACGCTTCAAAACGACACGGCTGTATGCGCCGCCCCCTTGCCAGCAAGGCCGTCACGCGTCGGAGAGGGGAGGCAACGACAGCGACGACGACGGTGAGTAAGGAGGCACGCCTCGCTGGCCAGACATGCCAGAAGTTAGCCCATAGAGGGCCAGATTGGGTGGGTGGACAGGTCAGCATATTTCATCAAAAAGCGAGCAACGCGAAGCCTCTTGTAGCCGCGAGCCTCGCAACCCTGAAAGCCTGTGGAGAAGCTCACAGGCACGGCCCACACGGCGCTGGTGGCCGCGGGGCAGTGAGAGCGTTGTCAGTTGTCAATCGTGCATGTTCCAGCTGCATTTGTTGATCGCGGTCCGCGCGGGACCTCGTAGAGGTGATTTCTTCCCAGCGGCTGGTATGTTTCGTCCGAAGGCCCCCAGTGGCCGCATGGCGCGCGCGAGCTAGACATATTCTGACCTGTTACCGGAGATTTTAGCACGCCTCTGGCTCGTTGGGTCGGCGAATTGTGATGAAGATGATGTTGTCGACGACGAATTATGATGACGACGATGCTCATGGTGATGTTGATTATTATGAGGCTGCCGATGACGATGGTGATGGTGATGGTGACAATGTTGATGATGAGCTTGATGATGCTGGTGATGATGGTGATAGTGACGATTGGGTGTGTTTGGTGATGGTGATGGTGATGGCGATGTTTTTGAATCGTTCTCTCCCTTTTTTTCCGAATCGTCATATGATTCATGCCATGGCTTTCGGCCCACCCCGCCACCGTGCCCGGGTCGTGGGCCAGGGGCCCCTCCAGGATGCCCTGTGGGAGTCTCCGCGGATGCCTCTCGGGGGCCGCTCTCCGAGGGCTTTTTGGGGGACCTCTCCTTGGGGGCCCCAATGGGGCGCCTCCTTGGGGTGCCTCGCGTGGGCCTCCTGGGGGCCTCCTGGGGGGTCTCTTGGGGGGGGGGGGGCCTCTCGGGGGGCGCTCGGAGGGTCGTTTGGGACCTCTTGGGGCCCACTGGCGCCTCCTGGGTGATCCGTGTGGGCCTCCTGGGGGTCTCTCGGGGGGGTCTCTTGGGGGGCGCCTCTGTCAGGAGGGAAAAAGACACAGACACACAATGTGAATCGTCGATTCCCCAGAAAATATGGGAGAATATGGGAAGTGGGGGGGAGACAAAAACCCAGAACATATGGGAAAATCTGGGGGATCCATCTATTTGTGTGTATTTATTTGTGTGTCCCAGGGCCCCTTCATGGGGGGCCTCTGGGCATTTGCATGTGTGCGTATGTGCATGTGGAGCTCGGTATCCGTACTGAGGCTGCTCGGCGTGTGCATAATTATGCACACGTGCAGCGGAGGACCGTGGACAGGGCCTTCGAGGCACGTGCCTCTTCCGTAACTGGGAGTACCCCCCTCGGCGCCATCGAGTGCTCTAGATACCCAGGAATCTCCCAAGCTTGGCCAATGTGGCCTCAGGATGTCTCGACCGACGCCCACGACTAGCCAAGAGAGAGTCCGCGGAGGCCCCCCAGCTCGCCCAAGATGGCCTCCAGATGGCTCGGTCTGTCTCAGCGGCCGACCGAGAGGGGACCCCCTAGAGGTTTCCGGATGCGGGAATCATTGACTTCGTAAGGTTTTTCAAGAGTCCTGGGTTTTTTAAGCTTCTGATCGCCCCAGAGGGCCCAAGAGAGCTCAAGCAGAATACCAAGGCCCGAGAGCGACCCAAGAGATCGCCAAGTCCTCCCCAGAGAAATCCAGGACCGCCCAGCTTTGCCCAAGAGAACCCATGAGACAGCCATTTGGCTCAAACCATTTGAGCTCTTTGAGCCCAACTCTTGACGGGCAACAGCGGTAGGACTAGCAATGACCATGACGCCAGTATTCGTCGGCGTATCGATCTTTTTGCTTCTCGGCGTAGCCTTTGGTAATGGTGGCCATGGCATCTTATTGCCGTTGGCCTCGCCGAATCCAGGTGCTGTTGGCTATGAGTCGTTGCCCTTGAATATGTCATACACTGACGTGCGCCTTAACGTGCAAGGGGAAGTTCCTTCATTTCTTGCCGGCACACTCTACCGTGGTGCCCCTGGTTATTGGCCCGATGGATGGTGGTTGGATGGCCTCATCACCCTCAATGCATTCAAGTTCTCGGGGGGCTCGGTATCATATTCGATGAGATGGAACAAAGACGAAGCCTACAATCGCACCGTCAACAATGTACCGCCTCCCCCCTTGCCCATCGAGAGCGCCATGCCTGGTGCACTGTTGCAACCTCGAAACGCCAGCTTCCCAACGGGCGTCGCATTCAGCGAGGTGCAGGGGCAATTGGTTCATTCAACAGGTGTCTCCAATGCCAATTGCGTTGATCCTGACACTCTCGAGCCCCTTGAGATGCCGTTTGTTTTTGGAGATGATTTTGACGCACCTTTCTTGGCCCCAACCCATGATATGAAGGTGGACGGTTACATTCTCCATCACTTGGTGACTGGAGTGGTAAAAGATTCTGGCGGCACACCCGGTTATATTGTGACGTCAATCAAGCCAGGTAGTAGGAAACGAGACGTCATTGCTACAATTGAGAAGCCGAAGGAATCTGCGCCATTATATGGCACTCCGTCATTTCAACACATGCCTCTCGCGACCAGTGAGTATTACATTATGCTTGAAACCCCGTGCTATTACCCAACTGCAAACACACAAGTCGGTCACGTCGATTGGAAAGGCTTCGGCTCGAACCCTCTTGCGCGCACGCATGTGCGGCTCGTGAGCCGTAAGAGTGGCGAGTCAATTATTTACCCTTTGACTCACAATATTTTCGCCATTCATCACATCAACGCGTACTACGATGCACCTTCGAACAGCATAGTGGTAGATACGATCCGGTTGTTTCCGTCTTTCTTGCCATGCAGCCTGGCGTTCACCCAGCTCACAATGGACCATTACGTGAATACGTCGACGTCTGGCTCGCGCGTCTCAACGCCGTTCCGCCTCACACTTCCACTGGACAAGCCTGGCAGCTATGTGGATCCGAAGCCTCTGGCACCAGGAGCAGTGGGCATGGAGTTTCCCACAATCCGGTATGATGACTTGAACGGCAAGCCATACCACTATGCGTATGGTTGCTGGATGGTGAGCGACGACTCAGATAACTTCGACTCGCTCATCAAGGTCGACGTGCACACAGGGAACTACACGTATTGGCACATCGATGGGCATTACCCAGGGGAGCCAATCTTCGTGCCAGACCCTAAAGGTTTGTCCGAGGATGACGGCGTTATCATGACGAACGTCCTGGACACATTGCGCAAGGAGACGTATGTCTTGCTGCTGGACGCCAAGACCATGACAGAACTCGCGCGAGCTGGGCCCACTCCGCACTTTATCCCTCACGGGTACCATTAGGGGGCCCCATGCGAACCCTGCCCCTATCCCCCACGACTGCTTAGGTGGTGAGGGTGGGGTTCACTTCGCCCGGGAGCTCCCGGACGCAGTGAACCCCACCCTCCCACTCCGAGATCGTGGGGAGGAGGGGCAGGGCTCGCAATGGGGCCCCCTAGCCATGGAAGGTACTTCGACAGGCGGCCTGGGCACGGCAGGGACCGCACGGTGCTGGTCTAGGGGGGCTCTCCGCGCGCACCCTGCCCTCGTGGTCACCGTCCACGAGGAGCCCAGCCGCAGAGGCCGAGCACCGCCCATGGCACGGCAGCAGACAGACACATCAGAGGTACAGTATTGGGCTGGCCTCCGGCCAGTGCCGCCGATCCGGGGGGGGCTCCGGAAGTGGAGTTTTCGATACCCCCCTGTCCCCGGGTACCGAAAGGCGTCGGAAATGGCGTCGGAAATATCCCCGTGTACCGAAAAACGTCGGCAAGGACGCCGGAAATGGCGTACGCCCCCCCCCCCCCCTGCAGAGCGAAGCTTGAGCGAGCTCAAGTCCACGCTCTCAGAAACTCACACGCCGGATCGGCGGATTTCACGGCACGGTGTTATCACATCCCAACATTAGAAACAAGAGGCACTCGATTGTAACGTTCTAGCATTCTAGCATGTTTTGTCATTCTAAGATACTGGCATTCTGACATGACGCGGCACGACGTTACACCACTGTTGTGCTACAGCTACGAGACGTGCATGAACCGCACGAGGGTGTGGTGTGCCTCTTTTGCAGTACTGCGCCTCGCAGTGCACGTGTTGTGGTCGAGCCAGCAGCTCTGGTCGAGCCAGCAGCTCTGCAGACACGCGTTGCGGCACAGCTCTTCTCCCGCTACCCCGCCTCGGTTGCTGCAAGTGTTTAGAGTTATTGTATGGTCTCACGCTTGCCTCATTGTTCACCGGGCGCGTTCCGCTACTCGCAAAGTGCCTACTCCCAAACGTCCGACAGACATCTGTGTTCCTCTGTGCAGTGTACTGTAAGTCCCCCGCGGCGGATCCAAGCCGTTTGCGAGTAGTTGTTTTGCGGGTAGTGGAACGCGCTCGCATAATTGTAGTTCCCCCCCTCATTCCCTTCCTCCGACACTGCGTCAGACACAAAAGACGCGCCGTGGCCAGGAACGGCTCGACAGGCTGTTCCTTTCGCTTTTTGTCAGGTTTGAGCGCCTTACCTCTTTCGGGCTTCTTTTAGCGTCCCAGGAGGCCCGATAGAGCCCACGCGTTGGCACCATTGCGGCAGAGGACCCTCGACAGTTTTGCATAGTTGCGAGAGGGGGCCACGACAGGGGGTCACGACGGAGGGATCGCGATGAGGATAGATATAGAAGTGGGCATAGGGACAGAGGGCTAGGTGTATAGGGATGAAGAGGTACAGGGATGTGGGATCGGGAGTTGGGCGTGGATAGAGATCGTCATGTAGTAAAGGGTTAAGCGGCAATCGGGATAGGCACAGGCTCCTGGACACAGGATCGAGGGATAGGCACAGAAATAGGAAGAGGAATAGTGATAGGACTAGGCTTAGGGAAGGAGATGGGGATGCGAGCAGTGGCAACGGGAGACAATGGGAGACGACTGGAGCCAACGAGAGACAACGGGAAGCAACGGGACACAAAGAGAGACGACTGGAGACAACGAGAGAACGGGAGACAGCGTCGCCCGCCCGATTCCAGATATGGCAGCGCACCTCCCAGTTCCTCCCAACAAGTTCAGGAGACCCTCGCGGGCGAACAACATAAAGTCGAGACTGATTTGCATATCGACCTGCCAAATCGAGGATACCCTTGTGCTCTGAGCTCGGCGACCCATGCCCTCTGACATTCCACTTGCAATGTGGCCCTCGGAGGAACCTTGTCAATCAGACCCGATTGTATCCGTGTGCGCGGTCTCGGCTCAGGACGGCTCGACACCCCTGGTGTCCCTTGTCCCCGGGGAGGAGGAGGAGGAGGAGGAGGAGGAGGAGGAGGAGGAGGAGGAGGAGGAGGAGGAGGAGGAGGAGGAGCAGGAGCAGGAGGAGGAGGAGGAGGAGGAGGAGGAGGAGTCTCCCCGCGGTCTAGGGAGTCTTCGGGACGAGACGCGCCCCCAGAGGCTTCCAGGTGGGCCCAGGAGAGCCTCAGGGCTGCTCGACAGGCGCCCAGGACCTCCCAAGTCGTCAGGGCGACCCAGACAGCCCACAGGGCTTCTGCTGTCGCCCCAGCACCGCCCAGGATGCCCGAGAGGAGACCAAGCCGGCCCAAGAGGGGCCCCCAGGGAGCTTCCATCGTCTAAGAGCCGCCGAGGGGAGCTCCCGGCCGCCCCCCACGAAGGTCCTCCGGCGAGGCCCCAACAGAGCCTGCAGTCGCTTGCCTCTCGCTTTCGTTTCGCTTCTCGGCCTTTTCGCCACGAGCCGCGAGCATACCCGTCCCCGCGCCCTCGCGGTCTGGACTCTTGGCTGCGATCCCGCGGACGCACGGTCTCACGGATGCGTTCCGCGCGGGGCGCCCGCGAAGGGCACGCCCCGTAGCCACGGGGGCGCGCGGCCCGGGGCCTCGGCCCGCTGGGCCGCGGACACGGAGCTCTGCTTCTCGCCCGGGGTGTCGCCTCTGCGTCCCGTGTGCGTTTCACGGCCTCGCCAGCCCTCTCGGCACCAGCGCCGCCCAAACGTGAGGGCGGCTCCGCTGGCGGACGCGGGGGGCGTAGCGGGGGCGGCTCCGCTGGCGGACGCCCGCGGAGGGCCGGCGGAGGGCCGGCGGACGTCAAGGCTGCAGACTCCAGGAGGCGGCAGGGAGTTTGCTTCCGGGTCTCCAGAACCCGCCACGTAAGGTCCGGGAGCGACCTGTGTGCGCCGTACCGCCCTGGCGCCTCCCGAGGCGTCGTCGACCTTCGACCGGCAGGAGTGGCACGGTGCCTGCCGAGTTCTTCGCCGAGCACCGCGCTGGAGCGGGGCCCGAACGGAGTCCAGGCACGGCTCGGTGCACGGGCGCCGCTCTCTCGTACGGGAGCCGCTCTCGTCCGCAAGCGGCAGACTCGTGTCCCCTGGGGAGGACGGGCGTGACCGTGGAGGGGAGGGGGGGGGAAGGTGGGGAGGAGGCCGGTCACGTCACGATTCGCGCAGGCGCCAGCTGGGAGGGCCTGAGATCGGCTCCTTCCCGGATGCCGCCCGTGCGAGTCGTGGCGTGGCCAGGGGAGGGGGGAGGGGGGCGGGGCGGGTCCCGGGCGTTGTCGTGAGTCATACTAGTAGGTGGGTCCACAAGTCTTTCGGGCGGTGCGGGGGGCAGATCCAAGCGCGCAGGCCAGCACCATCGCACCGCACACAGCGATCGGCAGGCCACGCAGGAAAGGCCCCTGCCCGGGTTCACTCCCGCATGCAGCCCACGGATGTTGGGGGGTCCAGGGGCCGCTCGCTGTGAGAGCCCCCCTCCCTCGAGAGCGCCGACGGGGGGCGCGCCCAGTGAGCTAGCCCATTCATGGGGCCTGATTTCAAGCGTCGCGGAAGGAAGGGAGGGGGGTTGAGGGAGAGAGGTGAGGGAGAGAGGGGAGGGAGGAGGGAAGGGATGAGAGGGAGAGAGAGGAGGGAGAGGAGGAGGAGGAGGAAGAGGAGGAGGAGGAGGAGGAGGAGGAGGAGGAGGAGGAGAGGAGGAGGAGGAGGAGTAGGAATAGTAGGAGGAGGAGGAGGAGGAGGAGGAGGAGGAGGAGGAGGAGGAGGAGTGTGAGTAGGAGTAGGAGTAGGAGTAGGAGTAGGAGTAGGAGGAGGAGGAGGAGGAGGAGGAGGAGGAGGAGGAGGAGGAGGAGGAGGAGGCCTCTCATTTCCTCTGGCTGCCCTCACGTCACAAACAGGAGTCCCCCCGGCGGCCGCGTCCGCTTCCAGGCCCCTCGGAGGGCAGGGCCTTCGCCCCCCCCCCCCCCCCCGCGCGCAGGAGGAGGCGGGCGGCCGGCGCCCCCGCCGAGTCTGGGCGACATCCTGGACGCCGTGCGCCGGTCGGGGGGGGCCCGGCGCCCCGCGCCCCGCCGCGCCCCCCCTTACCCCCCCCCTTAGGCAACAACAACTCGGAGGTCGATGTACTCGATGTGCCCGAGTGCAGTCCTCGATCTGCCCCCCTGTGCTGAGGGACCCCCGAACGAAGAGGCCTCGGCGAGATCCGAACAAAACATCCAAGAGGCCTCAGACCCACAACCCGGGCACCAGGCACGGTGGCGGGATTTAGGGGAACAACAAATGACATGAACATAAACACGCGGAGGTTCGCGCGGATTTCTCGGATCGGCGCTGGGGCCCCCTCCCTGGCGCGCGGAGCGCGCCAGGGGCGGCCGCCGGAGGCGCCGCCGGGGGGCCCCAGCGCCGATCCGAGAAATCCGCGCGGACCTCCGAGTTTTTATGTTTATGCCACTTTTTGTTCCCCATGCCCCCCCCCCCCGCCACGGAGGAGGCGGTGAGCGTGACGTCGGGCATAACCCTCTACAGGAGGAAGACTCAAAAGGAGTCATCAAATAGTCAAGGGCTAGGATGTTCCAACCTGCTTTCTAGCCTTGATCACCAGAAAGAAGTTCGAGCACCAGAAAAAAGAGACCCGGAACTCGAAAGTTTTCACGTGTTGGGCCCTGGGAGACACTCGTCTGACACTGTTTCGACACTGGTTCTAAAGTACGATGTGAGCAACATAGGTCAAGGGGTCGATGTTCTCCTTTTATTCGAAAATACTCTTGAGTGTTGATTGGCGATGGTCGATTTTGCTTCCAAAATCCGCCTGTAGGAGGAAATGCCTGAACTAAGGTGAGCGCCGCCTCGCCCGGCCACGCTCAGAGCCCCCAGAAGCACCAGGGCTGGGGACGGTCAGCGATAGCTACACACTTCGAAGAAGAAACAAAAACCTGTATAGACAAACTTTTGGCGCTTCGCGCGGAGCGCCAAGAGTTTGTGTTTATGCCATTGTTTCTTTCTCTAGAAACATCAGGGCTGGGGACGGTCAGGGATAGCTACCGATTCGCGCCCCGGGTTGCCTCAGAGCATGCAGGGGTAACTGCAGGTTCGGGCCTCGGGGGCCCAAACTGAAATTAATTACCCTGGGCATCAGTCATCCCTGATAATTCGGGCGGTTGCCAACACAACCAGGAGTCATTCTGCCGCCCTCCGACGTTTTCTTCCTCACTCCTTCAAGCAGCAACCAACAAAAACAACAACGAAAAGACACGTGATTGGGCGTGAAGCCCTGGTG